CCTACCTATAAATACCTAAACATATTTGAATGTGTTTTTATGAGGTTGAACATTAAAATGATTTTCTATGAAATATTTTTTATTTTTATTTTTTTTTACTTTTTGGTAATGGAAACAAATTTTATAACCAATTGTGAAAAAATTTATCACTTTAATAGACAATTTTCATGTCAAACAAAGTCAAACGAACACAAAATTCAAAAAAATTTCAGGTGAAAAATTATACCAATCAAACACACTAAATTAACAATTCCCTACAAAATAATTTCTAAACAATTACTTTCCCTAAAATTCATTTTATTTCCACCAATTTTTCACCCTTACAATCAAACGAACGCTAATAGTAAACTGGGCAAGGGTCTTGTCCCGTCCCATCTAGTCTTAAACGGGTAACAGGGCGGGTATGGTACGGGGCAGCCCCGCCTCGAATTCGCCCCGTTGTCATCCCTACATATACCCTTTGATTTTCGAGTGATTTTCATTTTGATCCCAACATTTTAGAAGTGTTGCATCTGTGTGACTTGAGTACGTCTTTTTTTCATAAGCACATTATTAACAAAAAAGATCAGCTCGATTTCATCACTCTTGCTCCTTTTCCTCTTTGTATTTTATAAAGACCATAATTATATCTCTTACATAACTAAATTAAAGATTAGTTTGTGAATTTATAACCAATTGAGTGTTCTTCTCTTACAAGTCGATTTTGTACGTGAGTTCTACACGTATAAAGACTTCTTTTAGTAGAAGATTCTGTACATGTGACTACATAGTTAGGAATATATGGTATATCGAGGATGTAGGTTCTTAAAAGATGGAACAAATGGCCCAAATTGTATCTTTTATCATTAAGTTAAAAGTTTGTAGATTTCTAATCGGTTAGACATATTTCTTTACAAACTATTTGAGAGTGAGATTTACCAATATGCTCTTCGATCTTCCCCTAACACAATATGTGGGGGTGTTTACATAAAATTAGCAAAGAAGGAAGCCAGTCAAATTGAGAACATGAATTGCAAAAACAACAGTGTACCGTGTACGCTGCTCCATATATGTATAAAACATATATGGACAATACTGGTTGGGGTGCCACTTAGTGCAGGGACTTCCAGCTATATTGAACATCTATAGGACAATTGAAAAATACAAGAATATAGAAGCTAAAAATGAGAACACCCTAAACTACCCTTAGTAATAATAAAAGAAAGAAAAAACATACACATAGGTTATCAAAATCAAGTAGTTGTATTTCGTAAAAATTCAGCAAGCTGCGTAGAAGAGGAGGTATGAGGAAGAGAAATGATTCCTGCCAAGAATTAATGACGTACAAAGTGGCATTCAATCTCAATATATTTTGTACGCTCATGAAAACACTGTGTTCTTAGCAATGTGGATGACAGTAATTGTTAGAGCACATAGGAGTAGCACTAAACTGAGGAACGCCCAGCTCGTCAAGAAGTCGAAGGAACCAAATAATTTCAGCAGTAGTAGAAGCCATAGCTCAATAGTAGACTCTGCAGAAGATTTAACACAACCGATCATTTCTTAATCTTCCAAGAAAGCAAAAAAATCACCCTAGAAGATGCAATAACCTTTAGTACGCTTCTTATAAACAAGAGATCCAACTACTTCCTAATATCTTGTTGTATCGCTTAAAGGGTGTCCGTCATCGGCTCTACATCTAAATTGGAGTGCCAACACATCAAATATCAGACAAGCTGACATGAGTTATTATCATTGGCCTAATTGGGTAAAATATATCCTTTTGGAGAGTAAGAAAAAATCATCACTCTATTGCTTGTACACAGTCCATGAACTTACGGTATTGTGTTGTAGTAGCGAACACAACAGTGATTGGTGTCCTTAGATTCAAGTAAATTTTGAAAACCATTAGAAAAATATTCATATCTTGAATCACAATGAAAACATTTAATTGTAGAGGAGCATTGAGTTTTAACCATAAAAACAAATTTAGTATAATCATCATAAACTCAGATCACTTACACATAAGATAATGTTGTGTAAAATTATGAAGAACAAGAAAATCAACAACCTTGAATCCACCAAAAAGAAGGTTTGAACACGAGAAAGAATCGTTGTCCTCAAATAATTTTTGTCACCACCGGGATGAGTGCTTCAAGACTTTAATGGCAAATAGTTTGTAGAAGTAAACAAGCTTTAATCCAAGTTCAAATCAAGCAATATGAACTTGAAGCACTTAAGAAATCTGAGTTTGAATATTTGATTTGGATGTGAGAGTATAGAACAATTGATATGATCCAGGAGTCGAGCCTGACGAAGCCGAGCCGAGATCCGTTGATTATCGAAGGAGACCCGATGACACATTCGAGGGCAAAACGGGTGAAAGAGGAAATTTGATTGCTTGCTCAAGCTATGGTGGATGAGGTGTCAAAGTTAACAAGTCAAGGAACAAGTTTCATGTTGGACCTGGAAGAAGAAACCAAATGGATCAACTCGGTTCAAGCAGCAAACGAGTAGCGTGGATGAAAATGTGCATAACTTTCAGCTATGGTGTCAAATTTTCACCCATGAGTAGAATCTGGAATTGTCACGAAATTATGCACAAGAAAAAATTGGTGTCATTTTTTAACACTGTGCGGTTGCATAGTGTAAAATGAATGCGACCACATACCTATCTCCCGAAACAAAATTGAAGGCTGAAAGATGAACTATGCGACTGCATTGAAATGTACTATGCGACCACATAGTACATTTTCCGGGTGAAATTTTTCCTTTTCCGCGAAAGTTTCCTAATTACATTAAAACACTATTTTTTATATCTTTGTAATCTTTAGGGATTTATTTACGTCTTAACTAAGTTTTTAGGGTTTCCGTATAAATAGATCTTATTTTTTCATTGTAAACAAACAACATTATTGAGAATTAATCGAGAGGCTATTTTGCTTTCAAATCTTGTTCTTCTTAGAACTTTGCAAACTTATCAAGTTAATCTTGTGGTATTCAATATCGAGTGTGGATCACGTGTCGTGTAATCAAGAGGTTATTCAAATTCCGTTTTGTTTGGTTGCTTGGTTCATTATTCATGTTTCAAACTCTTGGGATCGTCAATCTTTTGCGGGGTTGCGTAGTGATCGTTGATACGTGGTTCTCATCAACAATAATTCTAATGCATGAATGGGTGCTAAAATAAAACCAGAAAGGGGTGAAAACAATCAAAACATCATCAGAAAATTCAAATGCAACGATCATAAATATTGAATTTGACGATCACCCAGTACAAATTTGGGTGATCACACAGTGTACTCATTTCGTCCCGGGTGCTAAATTATGAGGATGGCCGAGCCTAGGGAATCACCCATGCTAATTTCCTAACTTTCTCATTTTTTTCGGTTTTTTTTGCACTTGATGTTCTCACATAGATGTTTGATCACTCCAAATCACTTATCATTATATATTTGAAATATTATAACAATTCCCCACTTTTCAACTATATAATAAGTTCAAACTTAAATTTAACAACATTTATGCGTAGAGTATGGATATCTTTCAATTTGAATTCAACCTTAGTGTAAATCTCACATAGTAATATCGAAATCTCGGGTATCATGAAAGTTTTGAATCTATTATTCCTTGTGATTATACCAGTTAAATCATACATACAAACATCATGTGTTCCAATTTCCAAACAATCTCGTTTAGCGCTCTTATGACTTTGCACTTCTCCTATTCGTAAACTTTTCATAGAAAAACTTCAACTCTCTATTGAGGTGGCACCACCTCAAAGCTCATATAGGTAAATTTTTTACAGTATCTTTGTCACTTTTAGAGATACTTGATCCAACCATCTAAACTTTACTAACATTACAGAAATTCAATCCTCCTATTCGTGACAACCAACACCTGTAACCTAAGATAGGATTTAAAAGAATAAGTGCTAAAACCATCCACTTATTGAATGACTTATTGTTATCCTTTGAACACAACGTATACTTGTTAGTATAATTAGGTAGGTTGCCGTTATTTTTTGATCTAATTATGAAGTTTCAACCTCATTTTACTAGTTGTTATCCGCACTAATTCCTTTGTGAGTAATTAAGTAAGCGTATAAGCCAATTATTAATTTGACTTCACAAAATTCAATAAAATTATAGTTTAATTAATTCCCTTACGGTCATGTCTTAGTGATAGCTGTATTTTGTACACTTATTTAAACCATTAAATTAAAGTATTTGTTATTAATTTGGATGGGTTATCATTTAATTTTGTGTTAATTATATTTGTTAGGTTTAACTCAATGCAAATTGGTGGATTTAGAAGAAATGAACGAAAAACGTGCAAAAACGAAGGAAATCCAAAGTTTGGGGACCAAAGTGTAACATTCAATTGTTGATTCGGACCACAAAAAGATAATTGAAGATCATATAGGATCAATTGGATGCAATATGAGGTCAAAGGAGTGAAATATAATGGAAGTATTTTCACAAATCAATTTTCAGTCGAATAAGTTATACTCCAGCTTTTTAGCCTCAACTTGAGACCCATTTTTCGGATAGCAAACATTCAAATTGGGAAAATTGTATTACAAAACTTATTTCCTTTGAATTTTCTTTCCAACGCATTTTGAATCACCTTAATCGGATATCTGTAGAGAAAGTTATGGTCAATATACTGAGAGCTGTTAAGGACAAACCGAAGCGAATTTGAGCGCGCGGTACCCTATTTGTCCCAACTCGAGAGCCATTGACCTCAACGGCATGTGCGTGGTGGTTATGCCTGTGTGCGTGTGGGCCTTTTTTGGGCTTGAACAACCCAACTTCCTAGTTTGATCCAAATTTTTATAGAAATCAAATTCAACATACTATTTAACCAACAGGGAGACGGCCACAACGAAAGAACATATCAAAACCCTATTTTTCACCATAAGAAGGAGGCTAACACGGGATTCAAATGCAAATAAAACAAGAGATTGAAGATTCAAAATTCAGGCAGAAATTTAAAGAAGAAGAATTTGATTTTTCACATTCCATTCAATTTTTTCAATTTTGGGCGATGTTTTTCCAAAGCTTGTTGTGTAATTTCCATAATAACATGTTAGTCTAATTCTTTTCATGCATTGGATGAAGATGAAACATATTTTGATATTTTTTTTAATTCAAGACTAGTAGTTTGATTTATTTCTTGCGTTTCTTGATTAATTTTGCATACCCATTACATTATTTAATTGATTTGCCACCAATTAGATAATTAGTTGGTTGTAGTAGTATTGTGAGACTTACAATAAGTTAGAACGTGACAGAATTAACATATATACAATAGATGTTAGGAATAATAGTTGTCACGTATGCAATCATATAGATAATCTAAATTTTAATGCATTCTAATTATTCGAGTTCGAGCTAGGAATAGATTCGGATCATGGTTAGGGTAGATTTAATTGTCTTGGAAAAGAAAATTGTATATCATAGTTTCATCGATTTTCAAGAACGCATGAACGGATCTATATTAAAAATCAAAAATTGAAATAAATAGCAATAGGCGAATTCGAAATTCAATAAAATCATCTACAATTTGATACAAATACCTTTTACTGCTTTACTAAATCAATTTAGAATAATCATAAAATCAAAATCTCTTTTATTTACATATTTCGAATCCCATAAAAAACTAGTAAATTTGAATTGAATTTATTTCATGTGAGACGATAACTCTTAACTCATCAATTCTATTACTTGTCAATGATCTCGTACGCACCTCTCGGGGAATAAAGTATTTAATTTGAGTTTATTAGATATATAGTATTCAAAATTTTCTTTTCTTTTGTTTAGGCTACTATATACACATCTAATCTCTCTAGTTTGATTTTGGCAGTGTACGCAAGATTCTGAAGAAATTGAGCTCTTACCATTGGATCTTGAGATTTACAGAACCTTTAAACAACAAAAAGGATAGTAGAGAGAAGTAGAGACATGTCAGAAAATCAAAATCAACTTCCACCAGATGCGCCGAACAACCAAATCCAATTCTTAAGGATTATTTAAATCTCATACATGCTCATGTGCAACCGGCTATTCTTTATCCACCTTTTGGGCAGGCCAACTTCGATATTCAACCAGATGTTATCAACTTGTTTCAGAATTATCAGG